AATGGACGGTACTGGAGGTTGGAAAGGATACGACATTTCGAAAATTTTCAACTCCGAATACAGTGCTTCTAGTGTTCTGATCGGTTTACTTAACTCCAGTTATCGGCTCTTAGGATCCATCAAATGTTTTTGCTCATGCGCGATTGGTCTAAACGTATCACTAAGGGGGATATCCGAGGATATCATCCAAATGATTTTCCTGATGTTCGAACCTTACGTCCGCTACGATAAGTCTTCGTTTAAAATTTAATTCAACAAGAGAGAGAGTTTTATGGCTGTTACAGAAGAAGGGAATATTTGCTTGTTTATAAAGTCGTACCTGAGGACACTCAGAGGAAACATCCCACGCAGAAAACAGGAAGCTATTCGCAAAAATTTTTTCACTCCCGTTGCAAAACATTTGAAGGATAATAAACAGAAGAGCCTTTGTTTTGCGCGAAAATTTGTCTGTTCCTGGAAGCTCACAGTTTTCCTTAAGCTTCGCTTCCCGGGAATCTGTTCGCATCTTGGAACAGATAATGACCGCAGACAAATATCCGTGTGCATATTTTCGCGCCAAATAGAGGCTACTGTTTATATAGTTCGAGTCACCCTACATGAAAATGTAATGCGCCAACTGTCGTGAAGCTGAAAAAGGGCTCCCTAAGTCCAAAAGTTCAGAATTTAGCAAAATTTGATTATTCTATTCGCGCTTGTTGCTACGTGCGTCGTTGGCTATTTACCCTTTCATATCCAGTGGAAATTCATGGAACAATTGTTAGGTACAGCCTCTTATTATTTTGTCAAGGAAAAAAAATAAATTTTCCTATGAAAAAGTCTATTATCTTCTTTTATTTTTTTTAACTCAGATTTTGGGTTGCGCTTCGCATGGGATACTTTTTCCGTTAGCTCAATCCCTTTTGGTCTTTTAAGCATTTCTACCATTGATTTACAATGTATGTAGATTGCTTATGAGACCAATAAAGTTGATAAGCTATCAGAATCCTACACAGCCTGCCAAAAGAGGAATTTTTTCTTTCTTTGCTTTTTAACCGGGTTTGCTGAGTCGAGGGCGAAGCGAGTGACAATTTGAACAAGTAGAGACATTTTTCTGCAAATAATCAAAGGTTTTTTTTTCTAATGTCGCGGTCATCTCATTTAAAGCCTCTTAAGTCATGAAGAAAATTAACAGTTAAAGAAAAAATTCTCACCCGCCCCAAAGTGCCAAAATAATTTTCTACTTACCGTCTCAACATGTGTTGCTAATTTTATCACCTATACAATTAAAAATTAAATATGCTTTGTTTGACTTTCATACATTACATGAAAATGACTTGAAAGGACAAACACACACATTCTCCCGTGTTACCATAATTTTCCTAATTCGATCTGCAACCTAACTCGCTCTCCTTTATTTTTCGTCAAAAACGGTCGATCGATCAGTTTTGTTCGTGCTTTTAATCATTTTGTTTCGTAAAATAAAGACCATTTCCAAAGAGAAAAAGTAGGAAACCTAAAAATGGTTGACTCGCTATAATGGCCTCGTTTCAACAAAGTAAGCGGTCAGACAACGAGCGATGCATTGTGGAAGTAAGGTGAGGTATTGTTATTGAGAAGTTGACATCGTTGCGTCTCACAGCTGGAGCTTGGGTTGCCTGTGGCTCACAAGGTGCCGCTTCAAAGCAATTAAGTCGTTGTCAGGTTGTCTCTAAGAGACCCGACCCGCTTCTGTTGTAATGCTAGAACGATAGGGCGCAGTATTAAAAAAAATCAGTCATAAAAGGACGCTACAATATACATTTCTGAATATTGATTTTAAAGTGTGTCTATTTCCAGTACTTCAAATACTTCCCGACACGATCAAGCCCTTCAATAACATTACATCTACTAGAGTTAACCATGTCAAACTAATGCAAAGTGTGTTGCACTCTGTGATCCTTGGATGAGTAACTAATTAAAAGGGTAAGTGTACTATTCAGTATTTGAAGTTTTCAAGTTTCTATTCCATTTTTCATTTAGAGGCGGAAAGACTGAAATCACTTTTTTGGATGTTAAGTTTTTCCTGTCACACGTTTTGAAATAGCTTTCTCTCGCCTTTCTACTTTGAACTATCATTAGTCGTATGTCAAAATAATCTATATTGGAATACATATTGAGTAAACACTTGTGGATTTTATGTAATTGAAAATAAATGTTCTGGCTTCAAAGTAAACGCTGTGTTCGCCACCCGGAACGAAGAAACAGGTAAGAAAACAGTGAAAAACCTTGCATGCAGACTCAGATAAAACTGAATAAGGTATAAGCTTTGAGTATTTTATTTGAAACTTATTAAGCTTCTGACCTCTATTGCACATTACTATAAAGCGAATACTAGATTATTTTCAGTCCTACTGAGATACGGCCACGTATAAAACTACACTGATTGTAAACTTTATGAATTGCGCTATTAATGTTCAGGATACAGAAAATTGGCTTGGAGAGTTTGCTTAGGGAATTTTATCCAGCCTCTCACTTACGAAGCAGTTTCGATTTGTGTGTTCCATTTTTAACAAGTCTTCCATTTTCAAAGCTTTCTCATGAATGCTGGTGTGGCCTTATTTCCCAAACAGCCCCGCTGAAATTTTTCTATGCCAATTAAGAGAAGCTCGAGCACACAGTGTTGGAATTGAATAGTTATAGCAGGCAACCGATTTGACTCCACAACTCCTTAACTGCTTTAGAAGATATTGTTATTATTTATAACGTTTTATAACGTTTGCAACATTTCAACTGGTCAAAATCAATTCGTTGCATCGTTCAGTCTCAACAGTTGTCTGTCAAAATCACTTTTCATCGATCATGGTCGTTGTCCAAAAGGAGGCACAAATTCATTGCTGACGATAGTACTTAAGATCAGCAACCGCTGGAATCTATTTCGTAAACGACACACATTAGTTCTTTTAAGAAAATTTATAATTTGGATTAGTCTTGGGTCAAATTTACGGCATAAGTATGAGGCGATCAAATGGTATGAAATGGCGTTAGTTTGATGTATTGCAAATCTGCTCTCTCTCGCCAAATAATTACCTTTTTATAAAACTCTTATCGCCCTCGATACACTACACTTAAGTTAAAAAAAGAGTCTTCAAATACACTTAGCACGACGTGATCAAAAGACAAACTCTCATCTCTCAATGATTAGCACCTCTTTTTCCCTTTCATCAGTCAGACGAATATTAACTCAATTTCATGTAAAACAACTTCAACAGGCTCCAGTTTCTGTATCCAATATTCGTAAGATGGTTTTTTTGAGAAGATTGCTTGGGATTTTTTTGGTATTGCTGGTTTCCGTGATAGAGATTTTTGCTCCTGATCCAGGTAAAACTCATATTGCTAATTGAAATTCATAGGGTGGTTAATGGGTCATTGAAAAATAAGTATTTCATATCGTAAAAGTCGTTTTTCCTTTCTTGCTCTATTTTTCTCAATGCCACAAATAGATGTAAAAACCTTGGGAAAATATCTTGTTGATTTTCTAGCTTGACATATGTGGCCACTATAGCAACAATATAAGTTGCCGTTAAAAAAAATGAGAAAAAAATATTTGTCACATTCACTCAAAAATTAGCTTGTTGATGGTCAGAGTATTTTAAAATGTCATAAACTGTCTAATCCTTTTACGTTATGATCCATTAGGAAAACGTGTTCTGGCGAGACAATCAGACGCCACTTACTCTCCTGGTACCGTGACAAAGAAATTCATCGCCACATATGTTGTTTTGCTGGACAATGGCAATGAAATTGAGTATAGTTATGAGGATGTAACAGCTGTAGTGCATGACACAAATCCCAACTGGACCAGCTTAGGAGATCACGTGATCGCACCGTCACCAAAAGAAAATACGAGCGAGCAATACCTTCTTGGTTTCGTGTCTGATGATTTTTGTCCAGGAAATGACACGGAAACGTATGAAATTACTTTGGACCGAGGACACATAGTCGAAAACTGCACGCTGAATATGTTGCGTAAACTCCCTTTTTTCTCCTCAATTCGCCAAGGTGATCATACAAATGTCAGTTCGACTGACGTTC